AAATGTTCCCCGCTGTTAACCACGTGGTGGAGGGGAGGGGTGAAGTGATCATCCCAGAGAATCGTGTGTGTGTGTGTGTGTGGGGTGGTTTACTTGGGTTTGTGCTGCATGTTAATCCGGAAACCACAGCCCCTCCTTTTACATTGAAAACCCATTTTAAATGGCCAACCCAATTCATCCTTGATATGGGAAATGCGCTGCTGTTTGAAACCATTCCCACATGTTAAGAAGGTTAAAAAAGCCAAAAGACTGTGGCTTACCATGGCTGCCTGCAAGCCAAAATATGTTGCCTGGCACTGCGTGAGTGATCTCTCATACCAAACCCGCAGGCAGAGGAAAAATGCGACCTTGTAACGAAAGAGTGTACCCATTGTTCACTAAAATGTGTCTTTTTTAACCACCTCTCCCTTCTCCTCCACCAGCTGCAAATGTTTCTCCTTCGCAGAGGCTAGTGAACATTAGAAAGAGAAAACGGAGGACGCGGGACGATATGTTCACGGAGCTGCAGATGTCCTCCCACGCTGATAGAGCACAGCAGAATGCGTGGAGGCAGTCAATGTCGGACATGAGAAAAGCACAATATGAACTAGAGGAGAGGTGGCGGGCTGAATGGCGGGATGAAAAGAGCAAGTGGTGGGCTGAAGATGATAGGTGGCGTCAGCTTGCAGACAGACGGCTAGAGTCAATGCTCCATCTGCTGGAGCATCAAACTGATATGCTCCAGCGTATGGTTGAGCTGCAGGAAAGGCAGCAGAGCAGAGACCGCCGCTACAGCCCCTGTTTAACCAACAGCCCTCCTCCCCAAGTTCCATAGCCTCCTCACCCAGACGCCCAAGAACACGGTGGGGGGGCCTCCGGCCACCCAGTCACTCCACCCCAGATGATCGCCCAAGCATCAGAAGGCTGGCCTTCAATAAGAGTTAAAGTTTTAAAATGCAGTGTGTCCTTTTCCATCCCTCCTCCCCCACCCATCCCAGGCTACCTTGGCAATTATCCCCCTACCTCTGTAAGGAACTAATAAAGAATGCATGAATGTGAAAAAACAATGACTTTATTGCCTCTGCAAGTGGGAGGGGTGGTTGGTTTACAGGGAAGTAGAGTGAACCGGGTCGGGGGGGGTGTTCTGTCTATGGCCCCACCACAGTTAGGGAATCCCATTGCAGCAAAGCCATATACTATGACCTCCACATTTCTTAGAGTCACTACCTTTGGTAGCAGCAGCTCAGTGATTGCTTTGGCTACTTGCATCACAGCAGCCCCCACAGTAGATTGGCCCACTCCAAATTGATTCCCGACTGAACGGTAGCTGTCTGGCGTTGCAAGCTTCCACAGGGCTATCGTGTTGCAGGTGTGGGACAATTCCCAGTAGCTGCGAAACTTTCGCATGCATAAGGGCACTTTCATGGAACTTTGTGACTTGCTTTCCCCTGCCCTGAAGCGCAAGAATACCAAGATGAGAGCAGCCCTCACAGTTGAGAAGCGAGTGGCAATAGCCCTGTGGAAGCTTGCAACGCCAGATAGCTACCGTTCAGTCGGGAATCAATTTGGAGTGGGCAAATCTACTGTGGGGGCTGCTGTGATGCAAGTAGCCAAAGCAATCACTGAGCTGCTGCTACCAAAGGTAGTGACTCTAAGAAATGTGGAGGTCATAGTATATGGCTTTGCTGCAATGGGATTCCCTAACTGTGGTGGGGCGATAGATGGAACCCATATCCCTGTCTTGGCACCGGAGCACCAGGGCAGCCAGTCCATAAACCGCAAGGGGTACTTTTCAATGGTGCTGCAAGCCCTGGTGGATCACAAGAGACGTTTCACCAACATCAACGTGGGATGGCCGGGAAGGGTTCATGACGCTAGCGTCTTCAGGAACACTAGTCTGTTTAAATGGCTGCAGCAAGGGATTTACTTCCCGGACCAGAAAATAACTGTTGGGGATGTCGAAATGCCTATAGTTATCCTTGGAGACCCAGCCTACCCCTTAATGCCATGGCTCATGAAGCCATACACAGGCAGCCTGGACAGTAGTCAGGAGCAGTTCAACTATAGGCTGAGCATGTGCAGAATGGTGGTAGAATGTGCATTTGGACGTTTAAAGGGTCGCTGGCACACTTTACTGACTCGCTCAGACCTCAGCTAAACCAATATTCCCATTGTTATTGCTGCTTGCTGTGTGCTCCACAATCTCTGTGAGAGTAAGTGGGAGATGTTTATGGCGGGGTAGGAGGTTGAGGCAAATCGCCTGGCCACTGATTACATGCAGCCAGACACCAGGGCAATTAGAAGAGCACACCAGGAAGCGCTGCGCATCAGAGAAGCTTTGAAAACCAGTTTAATGACTGGCCAGGCTACGGTGTGACAGTTCTGTTTGTTTCTCCTTGATGAAAACCCACCCCCTTGGTTGATTCATTTCCTGTAAGCCACCCTCCCCACTTCGATCACAGCTTGCTTGCAAAGGAAATAAAGTCACTATCGTTTAAAAACCATGTATTTTTTATTAATTGATTATAAAAATAGGGAGATAACTGACAAGGTAGCCCGGGTGGGGTGTGGGAGGAGTGGAAGAAGGAAGGAAAAGGCCACTTCAAAACTTGAATGACAGCCTTCTGTTGCTTGGGCTGTCCACTGGGGTGGAGTGGTTGGGTGCCCGGAGCCTCCCCCCACACTTTCTTGAGCGTCTGGGTGAGGAGGCTATGGAACTTGGGGAGAGCAGTTAAACAGGAGCTGCAGCAGCACTCTGTGATCCTGCTGCCATTCCTGAAGCTCCACCAGACGCCAGAGCATGTCTGTTTGATCCCGCAGTAGCCCCAGCGTTGCATCCTGCCTCCTCTGATCTTCCTGCCGCCACCTCTCATCAGAATCATCCCTCCTGTCCTCACGTTCATTGGCCGCTTTCCTGTACTGTGATACTGCGGCCTTCCACACATTCAGATGAGTTCTTTCATTGCAGGTCGACAGCATGATCTCAGAAAACATTTCATCACGCGTGCGTTTTTTTCGCCGCCTTATCTGAGATAGCCTTTGGGATGGAGGAGGGAGGCTTGAAAAATGTGCAGCTGCGGGAGGGAAAAAAGGGAGAGAAGTATTTAAAAAGATACCCATTGTTCTGTAAAATGTATACTCTTTCACAGTGAACAACACTATTCACATTACATAGCACATGTGATTTCGGTACAAGGTCACATTTTGCGGCTTTGGTGTTAGAGATCACAGACGCAGGGCCGGGCAACAGAATTCGGCTTGCAGGCGGCCATGGTAAGCCATAGTCTTTTGCCTTCTGCAACCTTCATAAAAGCAGTGCCCTCCTTTCCCATACCAAGCAAAACCCATTGAGTGCTGCGGTTTTCGTGTTAACGTGCAACAGCAGAAACCAAAACTAACCCTCCCCCATCCAATTCTCTGGGATGATCGCTTTACCCCTCCCCCCACCGCGTGGCTGGTATCAGGGAAGATCCCTGCTAGCCAAATGCGAACAGCTCAGCGCCAATGCACCCTCCCACCCGCCACTGCTTGGCTAACTACGAGGAGGATTTCTTTTCAGACACAGGCAAACAGCCCAGTAGGAATGGCCACCTCTGAATGTCTCCTTAATTAAAATTCCCGTATTTCAACCAGGTTACCATGAACGATATCACTCTCCTGAGGATAACACAGAGATAAAGAACGGATGTTGCTTGACTGCCAGCAAACACCGGGACCATATGCTGCCAGGCTTTGTCATGCAATGATACCAGATTACTTGCTACTAGCATGGTGTGGTAAAGTGTCCTACCATGGAGAACGGAATAAGGCTGCTCTCCCCAGAAACCTTCTGCAAAGGCTTTTGGAATACCTCCAGGAGAGCTTCACGGAGATGTCCCTGGAGGATTTCCGCTCCATCCCCAGACACGTTAACAGACTTTTCCAGTAGCTGTATTGGCCGCGAATGCATCCCAAGTCCTCAGGGCAAATTAATCATTAAAAAACGCTTGCTTTTAAACCATGTTTTATATAACAAAAGGTACACTCACCAGAGGTCCCTTCTATAGCTTCATGGTCAGCCTTCATACAGCCCTGGGAGGGTATTTCAGTCATGGTGAGAAAAAGATCCTGGCTGTTGGGGAGAATGGTGTGCTGTGTGCTCTCCTCAAGCTCATCCTCCTCCTCATCTTCCCCGTCCGCAAAATCCTCAGGCATGGCTGAGAGTACCCCCTCCTTGGAATCCACGGTCAGGGGTGCGGTAGTGGTGGCGCCCCCCCCTAGAATTGCATGCAGCTCAGCATAGAAGCGGCATGTCTGCGGCTCTGCCCCGGAGCATCCGTTTGATTCTTTGGTTTTCTGATATGCTTGTCTGAGCTCCTTAACTTTCACGCGGCACTGTGTTGAGTCCCTGTTGTGGCCTCTCTCCATCATGCCCTTGGAGATTTTTTCAAATGTATTGGCATTTCGTCTTTTGGAACATAGATCTGATAGCATGGAATCGTCTCCCCATACAGCGATCAGATCCAGTACCTCCCGTACGGTCCAGGCTGGAGCTCTTTTTCGATTCTCGGACTGCATGGTTACCTGTGCTTATGAGCTCTGCATGGTCACCTGTGCTGATGAGCTCGACTGGCCAAACAGGAAATGAGATTCAAAAGTTCACAGGGCTTTTCCTGTACACCTGGCCAGTGCATCTGAGTTGAAAGTGCTGTCCAGAGCGGTCACAATGGTGCACTGTGGGATAGCTCCCGGACGCCAATACCATCAAATTGCGTCCACACTAACCCTAATTCGAACTGGCGATATTGATTTCAGCGCTAATCGGGGAGAAGTACAGAAATCGATTTTAAGAGCCCTTTATGTCGAAGTAAATGGCTTCGTTGTGTGGACGGGTGCATGGTTAATTCGATTTAACGCTGCTAAATTCGACAAACTTGTAGTGTAGACCAGGCCATAGAGTCGACCAGGAATAGCTATTCTGGAATGACTTCCCATGTAGACAAGCCTTAAATTGTCATTACTTGGATCTGCAAAAAGGCAGCAAATATCCTGAAAGGAATTTCTGTGACCCACGTAAGATGCATCACAAAGTACTATGTCTATGGTACATGAGCTTTATGTATACATAGTCTGGCAAACATAAGAAGTAATAGCTACCTATGTTTTTATGTCCGTGCTAATCTGCTAATGGAGTCTTTCATAAAGATTAAGAGCTAATAAAGTACTGAGCTTTGCATTAAACAGCGTTTGCCTCATCCTTCCCACAACATCACAGACCTAACTCCTGGTACAACAAGACCTGACAAGAGCACACAAGTCAACACTTATTAAAATGATCTGGATGCAGATTATCTTTTGTTGGCTCAATATTTTTTGTTGTTTGATCTACCTCGAAACTGGAATTGTTAATGCAAAGATGAACTGAAGGTTGTCTAGTTTCAGTGAAGGCTCTATAAGCAATTCTAGCTCCTTTGTGGAAATCTTAGACAAGATAAGTGAGAATGTCTTTTATTGGACCAACTTCTGTGGGTCCAATCACCTCACCCACCTTGTCTCTCTAATATCCTGGGACCAACGCAGCTACAACAACACTGCAAATACAGGCTCTGTTGTTCTCCCAGGCGGACCTCTCAAAGGGAACTAACTGCACCTTCTCTGAGGACAGATGTCTGCAGGGATTTGTCTATCCTCACTAAGAACCCTGTGTTCCCTACACAGAGGTAATTCTCACACATGGAAGTGTAAACACTTTGAACTCAGAATTTCTTCTTCTTTTTCATCATCCTGTGTGTGTGTTGGGGGGTGGGGAGGCTTACTCCCAATACAAAACACTGAGTCTCAGGGGTTCCACTAGAGATAAATCATCTGCACTAAGGACCTGTGCCTCCCCATACTCCAACAACATATTAATGGATTAGCCACAATAAAACATCATGATAGACTTTTCTTTTAATTTATATATGTGTTTCTGCTAATGCTTTGACTGATTAAAACTGAAATAACATTTAAAATCTAATGTATTTTTCAAAATTTATGCCGATAGGTCGCTTTTTGCATTTTTCTCAGCTTGGCCAGTGAAACTAAACAGGTCCAGTTCCTATTTGTTTATAGTCACTTTCATTTCCTTATGCACAATCAGGTTGCTGATGTATTGCAGAATATGTACATTTCTTTTAAATGGTGCATTTAATTCTTTTTAAAATCATTACATTAATAAACACCTACACTGCCCATTCACTCCAATGAGAGAGCTCTGAACCTGAGTGATATTTTTACAGGTAAATGGGGGCATTCATTGTCTTACCTGAGAGTCAAGTTACATGCAATGTGATATCAGAACTGTAATCATGCAGAAGGGCTTCCTTCCAGGACCTGAAAGTCGTGTATTCATAGCCCTTTAATTGCAGAGTCACTGCTGAATAGCTGGCACTTTGTCTGCATCACTCTTCACAGGACAAAGAGTTTGGCATCCTTTTACATATTCCTTTCTAGAAAAAGGGAACAGGATAAGAGGGTTGAAAGACTTAATATTTTTTCTTGCACATTTTGGCTGTTTCTAGATAAAACAGAAATAACTTGTTTCTTCGGGGTGCGACTCTGTGCAGAATTGAATACCTCATAGAATCAGGGCCCTAGGAAGTTCCCAATCCTACTATACTGAAACCCATGGCAATCCTTTCAATACTCCAATGGAACTCTTAGATGGTCATATTTTCCCATTCTTCTACTCTCTTCACCACAGAGTTTATATATATGTCTGTTGTGTAAAGGTTAGAAGTGAGAAATATCTATTACTGATCATGTGGCGTTGGTACATTTTGTGGTTTTTGTTTTTCAAATGCTGCACCGAATATTCTAAAGCACTCCCTTCTGCACCCCATCTCATGTGACTGATTCATTTAATACTAAGAAATTTAATTTTTGTATATATATAAACAGGCACTGAAAAATGAAAATATCTAATAAATAGACATTTATTTCATCCAATTAAAAAGGTCTCAAGAATGAAGTGGTCTGCCTCAGTTCAACATTTTAAAGCATAGTTACCATAATTAAATAAGGCAAAACAGATTTGCTGTAGCACACAGGAAAATGTGAGAAGACAGTAGAACAAAATTCCAAGACTAACCTGGAGGCTCACATCTAGTAATTAAATATATTGCCAACAACCCATAAGTCTCCACTGCATTAGCAAGGGAAATATGGTTGTAAGAACACCCGTCACAGTGTTTATAATGCGTTATCCCAAAGGAAACAAGTGCACCTGTTCTATATTAATTGTAGGTGATTTTTCAGTAGTTTGAGACCTATTTAAGCAAGTATTCTACAAACAGTGTTATAGTAATATAGCCAAACCACAAAAAGATTAAGGAGCTATATACTAATAAAACAAAGGTCTCACGGCACATTTTTATGGAGCTATTATCTGGGTGTGTGTGAAAAAAAGAGGGCACACAGAGTGCATCTTAATTCCCACATCCCCTGCACACGCATGCAGCCATTCTTCTTCTTCTTATACAACAGCAAGTGCAAAGGCGGTGAAATGGATAACCTGTCCACCAGTGCCCCACAGCTTTAAAGGCATGTGGTCTGCCAGCTAGGGTTCCCAACCCTACATATGCATATTTTAGTTGTCAGCACTGTTCTTTTCTGGAAAAGCCAAGTGATTCCCCACCTCTTACTGTGATGGCAGGGAGGTCCAGGAACTCACCATGCAGCTGGCAATACTTTACTCATCCCCACATTCAAAACTAGTAAAGACTAGATTTTCATAATGTGTATTTGGAGGCATACACATGCTATCGATGTATATAGATTTATTCTATATATATGGACAGTGAAAAAGAATACTTTGGTGACATGCAGCACAGAAATAAATAAAATAGTCTAATAATGTTGAGGTTTCCTGTTCTAGCTTCCTTGTCAAACCCTTATTGCAGTTTGCTTATGCCATGGGCCCTGCCCTCATTTTTACCGATGTTCACTGCCTCCAGGCCAACACATTAAAAAAAACAAAGTATTCTACATAGAAATTGCTCTGCTTTGCTAACAATTTACACCCACAGACTGACTGGTGGTCAACTCATTGAATATGTAAGGACAGTTAGCTAAGAGGCCTTGTACTTTGATCATACCCTCCTTTTGACACTTTCCGGGTCTTTGTCTTATAACAAGAAACTTTACAAAGACAATCATAACAAATGCATGTACCAGCAACTTGTAAATTATGAGCAAGATATCTCATTATTTGTGGTCTGCCTGCCCTTTGCTGATTGCAGTGGGTATGACATGGGAGGAATCTTTTGTTCTTGGCTGCTAGGTTATTTATATACTTTTCCATGCCACTCACCACATACCTGAGCACCTCGTAAACATGAATGAAGATACCATACAACACCCTCTGAGGCAGGAAACTCTTTTAAATCACCATTTTACAGATTGGAAAGTGAGGCACAGACAGATTGACTTGCCCAAAGCTACACCTTATTAGCTATAGCAGAGTTGAAACCAAAATCCAGACTTCTTAAGTCCTTGTCCAGTACCTTTGCCACAAAACCTTCTCTGCAGACCTGCCTCTCCTTCTGATACACTAAAGTCTCGGAATCTTACCTACAAGTTTGGGCTCAACTAAACCTGCTCGGTAGGTGCACACAGACTAATGTAAGGGATGGGAAATGTTCAAGGTGATAATCAGTGCTACGGAGATGCTCTGACTTGTGCCAGGGGCAGGTGAACTGTGCAGCAGCGCAGAATCCAGGCAGAGCCAAGGTGGCACAAACCATTTCGGAACATGAACCATCTTTGACTAGATGGTGAAGCGTAGGCAGACACATTAAGTAATTTACCCGGCAGAGTTTCCTTCATTAACATGTATAAGTGCCTGCTAGCCAGGGTTAGTTTCTGTGGCTGCACAGCTCTCAGATCTCTCCCCGCTCCAAGCCGAGTGGCCACTTGAGAAGAACTTTCCCTTCTGCGTTGTCCTAAAACGTAAACCGTTTTCGCAGCTGCCTTCAAAGCGAGCTTATGTTTCCACCCGCAACGTCCGTACTCCTGGGGGCTGGCGGGTGCAGATAACGCCTCTTCCCCACCGCAGCCGCCTGCAACGGGGCCCGCTTCGCCTCCTTCTCGCTTCTTTTCGCCTTGCCCATCGGTTCTGTCCGGACCAGCAGCGGGTGTCAGGAGGTCCCGGGGCCCGCCCAACGCTCCTGTCACGGCCCCAGGCGGGCGCCCAGCCGCCACAACCCCGCCTCAGAGCTCCCTAGGGCAGGGGGCAACCAACGCACCCGGCTGCCCCCGGAGCAGCCGCCCCTGCCCCTCCCTGTCTCCCGTTTCCATTCCGGCGGCTGCGCGGTCACCCCGCCCCGGCGCGGGGCGGGGCCTGAGGAGCGGCGCTGCCGGGCCCCGATTGGCGGAGCCGCTTGACAACCGCAGTCAGGGAGCCGGAGCAGCCAGAAGCGGAGCCGTAGGGTCGGGGCAGACGCCGAACTGGACCCCCTTATTCCTGGGCCAGGGACCCGCCGCCATTTTGCGTCCCTCCCATCCGCTCCGTGTGTATCTGTGCGTCCGGGCCCCCCGGACTTCCCTCAGGTAGGTCCGCGTCGTCATCGTCGTGGGGAGCAGCCCCGGGCTCGGGCTGCCTGGGGAGAGTCCCGGCCTGCTGGGGACCCCTTCCTGCGGGGGCCAGGCTGGCACCTCCCGAGAGAGGGTGATAGAAGGCAATGGGGGGGGGGTGTCTGGGAGGGAGCAAACCGGAGGGGCGGGAGGGGGGAGTGGGAGCAGGAGCTGGGGGTGGGGAGGCGGCGGGCCTGTCAGGGAAGGGGGGGGGGGTAGAAGAGAGTCTGGGGCGGGTGGGGTGACAGCGGGAGCTCTGAAGGGGCGAAGCCCCAGGGGATGGCAGGGTCCCCTGTCATGGGGAGGAGGTCGCCTGCCAGACAGTGGAGCGGAGGGTGGTGCTGAAGGGACCAGGCGAGACAACAGCCTGGCTGCTTTGGTGCTGGTTTGGCGAAAACCCATTCATCTTGGCATTCTCTCCTACCCCGCCCCAGACCCCGGTATCCTCCAGTCTAAATGTGGTGCGTGTTCCTTTTCTGTGGCCTGCAGCCCCAGTTCATTCCCCCCGTGAAGAGCAAGGGGACAGTGTGATTCTAGCCTGATTCCTCTGTTGTGATCCTGGCATCTAAGTACTGATTTCCCTTTGTTGTAGCGTTTACAGGGCAAGTCCTCTATAATTAGGTGTCTTGGACATAAAAATGTGTCGACTCTTAGCATGCTTGTTTTTGCGTGAACAAGATGCGGTTTCCTTTTTGCCTTTATTGCTGACAAATGGGATGTATAAATATGATGCATTAAACCTTAATATTTAAGTACAGTAATCTCACTGAAGTCCTCCTGTTCTTCTTTTTGCGGATACAGACTAACACGGCTGCTACTCTGAAACCTTACATGTTCTTAGTTCTTCTGAGTAAACATTCTGGAAATATTTTCTGTATCTTGATACTGTATCATTAAGTATGTTATTGTTTCAGGGTTTTGAGTAGCAAAAAGGAGAAAATACTCTTAAATACACATGAGATAAAACGAATGAAGTATGCCAATACAAAAGTGGTGTACCAGCGACTACTTAGTCAAAACACATTAGCTAGTTGCTAGATTGTCAAAAAAAATTTTTAGTAAAAGTTGTTTCCTTTTTCCTCTTTATCACAACATACAAGTATTCTGTGGTTTAATTTCACCTTTCTTTTCTTTTTTTTCTTTTTCTTTTTTTTGGCATCCATCATACACTTCTCTGCATGATGTGCATTTATAATCTAGACAAAGAGCATTCAGGTTGTAAAAGAAACTGATAAAAGCAAGGAAATCTGCCAGTCAGTTATCAAATATAGTAGGTCAAACCTTAATGAAGTATGTAATATTGTCTCTCTCTAAACTGGGCCTTGCAGACCACAAGGAGGTGCTCCAATATGAAACACTTGGATGCTAAGTAGTGGAGGTGTGGAGAGAGAGGGTGGTGCATGATAGAATCTTTATTTTGACAACTGATCAGTGGAATGGAAAAAAGTTGAGCCATTGAGTTAACGCTGTTCATTTGGGGGCCAGGTATGGGAAAATGTGTTGTATAATTCGTCCTTATACACAGGTTTGTCTTTTTAATTAAAATCAGAGTACCTGTATTGTAATGTAGTTTATATGAATTTTTATATTACCTTGTTCCTAAGGGCTAAGTGATCTCCAGTGATTTCCACCCTATATATCCCTATTTCATGGGAATTAATTCAGATAAAAACTTGGCCCATAGAATGTAATTTTTAAATATTTCCTCTTTTATTTAGGGCTTCTGAGAATTATTGAGGACAGAGTGAAAATGGAGCCGCAAGTTAATGACTTGGGCCCAGATCCTGCAATGAACTCTCTGCATGGACAGACTCCTGTGCTCACATGGAGATATCATTGCAGAATCAGGGGCTAGGTTACGCTAAAATGAATGAATAAAAATGTGTCTAATATTTCACACCAAGAAGTGAACACTTTAATTATAATTTTTTATTTTAAATGTTTTTTTCTTTTTTCCCTTAATATTACTTATGGAGCTCTTTTCTGTGAAGTTGTTTATGCTGCAACGGTTATTATTGTGAGAGAGTCTCTTCAGAAGTGTCTGCATTTTAAAAGGCTTATGGTTTACAGCTTGTTATTTACACCTGTTAGGAAAACTAGACTTTTGAATGCATTTTGCTCTTCTGTGTACAATGATAGATGTAGAAATGTTTTTTAAGTACATCAGAAGCAGGAAGCCTGCTAAACAACCAGTGGGGCCCCTGGACGATCGAGATACAAAAGGAGCACTTAAAGACGATAAAGTCATTGCGGAGAAACTAAATGAATTCTTTGCTTCAGTCTTCACGGCTCACGGTGTTAGGGAGGTTCCCAAACCTGAGCCGTCCTTTGTAAATGACAAATCTGAGGAATTGTCACAGATTAAAGTGTCGTTAGAGGAGGTTTTGGAATTAATTGATAAACTTCACAGTAACAAGTCACCGGGACCAGGTGGCATTCACCCAAGAGTTCTGAAAGCACTCAACTGTGAAATTGCCGAACTATTAACTGGTTTGTAACCTGTCCTTTAAATCAGTTTCTGTACCCAACGACTGGAAGATAACTAATGTAACACCAATATTTAAAAAGGGCTCTAGAGGTGATCCCGGCAATTACAGACCGGTAAGTCTAACATCAGTACCGGGCAAATTAGTTGAAACAATGGTAAAGAATAAAATTGTCAGACACATAGAAGAACATAAATTGTTGGGCAAAAGTCAACATGGTTTCTGTAAAGGGAAATCGTGTCTTACTAATCTGTTAGAGTTCTTTGAAGGGGTCAACAAACATGTGGACAAGGGGGATCCAGTGGATATAGTGTACTTAGATTTCCAGAAAGCCTTTGACAAGGTCCCTCACCAAAGGCTCTTACGTAAATTAAGTTGTCATGGGATAAGAGGGAAGGTCTTTTCATGGATTGAGAACTGGTTAAAAGATAGGGAACAGAGGGTAGGAATAAATGGTAAATTTTCAGAATGGAAAGGGGTAACTAGTGGTGTTCCCCAAGGGTCAGTCCTAGGACCAATCCTATTCAACTTGTTCATAAATGATCTGGAGAAAGGGGTAAACAGTGAGGTGGCAAAGTTTGCAGATGATACTAAACTGCTCAAGATAGTTAAGACCAAAGCAGACCGTGAAGAACTTCAAAAAGATCTCACAAAACTAAGTGATTGGGCAACAAAATGGCAAATGACATTTAATGTGGATAAATGTAAAGTAATGCACATTGGAAAAAATAACCCCAACTATACATACAGTATGATGGGGGCTAATTTAGCTACAACTAATCAGGAAAGAGATCTTGGAGTCATCGTGGATAGTTCTCTGCAGACGTCCACGCGGTGTGCAGCGGCAGTCAAAAAAGCAAACAGGATGTTAGGAATCATTCAAAAAGGGATAGAGAATAAGACGGACAATATCTTATTGCCCTTATATAAATCCATGGTACGCCCACATCTCGAATACTGCGTACAGATGTGGTCTCCTAATCTCAAAAAAAATATACTGGCATTAGAAAAGGTTCAGAGAAGGGCAACTAAAATGATTATGGGACCCATTCCAAACACCTATAAGGAGATATTAAAGAGGCTAGGACTTTTCAGCTTGGAAAAGAGGAGACTAAGGGGGGATATGATAGAGGTA